TATGACAATACGGCCACCTGCCTTCCGTAATACAACTAAACAGCTTACCTAGTCGGTAGGCTGGTCCACTTTCCCGATGATAGAGGCCTTTTCATGCAGTTCATCTCTTCGCAAAGCTGCTCTTTGATCGCCAACGGTACCTTCCGGACATGCTGCACCGCTGGAACGGCGCCCGATCACAGTGCCATCTTGTATTATCGCTGCACACAGCTTGCTTCGCGAAATAAGTGTGGAAAAGCCAAAAAGCCATCTGGGGAGCACCTTGTTCAATTCAGTCTATTGAATTCACCGTTAGAAAGAGTCTTCTTTCCTGACATGCTTTCAGACCTATATAGCGTTGCGAATATCATTACAATAATGCAACCGAACGCTCTTGGCCGACTAACTTCAAGAGATCTGTTGAGATGGCCGCACGCTTGTCAATGCTTCCATTATACGCCATTAGAAGTACCGTGGTTTTCGTGGCTCTATCGATCAGCTGGCGTGGCTGAACACTGACAGAAGTAATAGGTTTATCTGTGAGCCGGTATCTGCAGATAATACAGCGCCTTAGCTTTAGTTTCATATTCAATAAGAACCGTCGTTTTATTTCACCTGCTGAGTTAGGTAAACTCACAGAGCTTTCACCACTTCTAAAGTGAACCGACTTTGAAAATTTAAAAGAATTTTCCCAATAATTCGTAATCACGTTAACATGACAAGTACTTCGAGATCAAAACACAGGAGACATCAAGACACAAACACAGTATGCACATACCGCCTCTCAAAGCTCACAACGATTGCTTGAGGCACAGTTTCTTCCCTAGGGCAATTCTGCAGTGGAATTAGAGTCCAGATTCGGTCGGGAAACTAAATCCATTACTGAGTTCTTAGAAGCCATAAGCTCTATAGTGTTTTCTGATTCTAGGAATTACTATTAGGCATGACTTGTCTAAATTATGTATCATGTAATTAAACTATGATTTATTATGGGTTTTGATAATTTGTATAGTATAAGTTTTACTGAGGAGCTTGCAACTACAATACTATTATTATGTGCATTTCTAATTGTGCCGTGAAGGCATATGTGTTTCTCTAATAGATACTTTTTCGTGTTTCTCCTATGCACATTTCTGTGAATTTATAATTTCTTTCCACTCCAGTATTAGCCTACAAAAAAGGTCTTAGAGTATCAATAAATGAAATAAAATAAATGAAAATGTATTGTGTTCGATATGACGACGCGATGTAACACTTGGCTGAGGAAGGAATGAACAAATGTTCGTTTATGAACATGGCTTACACAGCTTCATTAGTAGTGATGGAAGGGGGGGGGTGAAAGGAAAGAAGGAGGAAACAGTATCTGCGCTCAAGAGCGAAAGCTCGATATCATAAACATTACATAGCAGGTTCGCAAGGATAACGTCACCATGCTAGCAAAGGATGGTTAAGGGGCGATACTTGGAAGTAGGCGCGTAGCCAAATAAAACATCATAGGACCCCCATCCCCCTAATGTATATTAAAGAGAGTGTTTTACCGCCAGCGACTAATGAATAGAGGTGTTCCTCAAACCTTGAACCAAGTGCTGCCCCCTCGCTGAAAACTCCTTGCTACAAGCCTGCTTGGAAGGGGCCTTTGTACTGCAGTGGCTGATGATTGCGAGAACAGGTTCATTAAAATTTATGCTGTGCCTGTAGAGAAAACGTGCCCCCATCTGGTTTGAAGGCCAATGGTCTCCTCGTGATAGCTGATTTGGAATGCGCCAGTGGCCGAGTAAATGGCGACTGAGAGCAGCATATCCACTTGGTCACGAACAAGTCGAGAACGTACCGAGATCTGTTCTTGCTCGTCTCTTCTGAGCTGTGACGATGCAGTTTCTCTTACAACTTCAGAAAACGCTAAAGGGGAATTAGACGTATATTCTCGGATTGTTGGTTCATGACTTCGGGGAATCGGCGAGACATCCATAAACAAATATAAGCTATTAGTGCAAAAAAAGTAAAATATTGGCTTTTGTTAATAAGCAGAGTCTCGATGTAAAAAATATTTATATAGTATACATTAAAATGTCAACGATGAGGTCATTTGAGGATAATAAGCAGTCCTAGAGCAGAAAAGTACTAGTATATGAATATTACAGTGTATAAAAACCAGTGAATTTTTCAAAATTCGCTTATAACCGCGTTGGCATGCACAATGAGCCCATACCTTACGCATGACACTCTCATAGCTTACTGTAGCTTGCGTTTTAAACAGTTCAGTAAAAAAGAACGGAAGGCGTATACAGGCATTATGTAGTGCGAGAAACATTTTAACTCCCATTCTGTGAATTGGACAAGGAATTGATGCTTTAAAGACCCATCTGTTACAGAAAACCGGGACAAAATTGTTCTTCATAAGTAGAAGCAGAGGCGGCGTCGGTCAGGCGACGTAAGAAAACTGGAGAGCACACAAAGACCGGGTAGAAGACGACACATCAAATGATCTGTTTGTCTATCGCCTTCTCGCGCCATTCTTTGTGCGCTTACCAGTTTATATTAGGAGAGCAAGAACAACAGCATCAACAAAGCGTGCAGCTGTCTGTATACCGAAAACACCCAAAAGAATGCCTAATGGTTGCTTCGCGAATAGAATGAATCACGAATATGATGAATTCAGCCAAAGTGGGTCCTTCACAAAATAGGGTGCAGTGAAAATAATTGTAGCAGTTTTTCAAACGCAGAAAGTTATGCTCACACATCACACTATCGAGTTCTACCCCTGAAGGACAAGCAGAATTGTCCTGAAGCTTTATTAAAGTAACTATAATAAAGCAGCCGATGTAAACCTCACGTGACATATACGCTGTTCACATAAAAAATCACGTATAGAGCGTCCATTCGAAATTACCTGCATTTAACTTTTGAATTGATTTCGATCGAACTGCCTTTATTTTATAATATGCGTCCACATCACGTTAAATAATTTTGTTGTTATGATGTTTGACTAAATGCGTACTGTCACATGCATACCCATACAGTATGATCATCAAGGTCAGACAGTGGTGGAGCTTGCACTAGTTTGTGGAAGACTGAATCACAGCATAGACACCTCGCTGGTCCTGACTTGGCTTGGCTTTTACATTCAGAGCTCTAGACTTCTATTTCCGCGGCTAGGCGTGCTGTATTTTTAGTATCTTTCTTGCGGCAGTTAGTTTCTATTTTTTAATTTTTTGTCTGTCACTGCATTTGTTTCGTTCTCTTCTGTATTTTGCTCCTCGTTTATATCTTGCACCCTACTCCCTTCTTTATCTTGCCTGTTTCGTGTTTATATAACTGCGATTACATAAAAAAAACCCTCGCTGGTCTTTGCCGCCACAGTCACATATGTTCCTTCATAATATACACGAAGATTTCAACATCTTATTTCTCTCCCCCTTTTTATTCTTCATAATTTTGCTTTCTTGCTTCAGCTTAACATTTATTAGCTGCCGGTATACTCCTTACAACTTCCAGTGTCTCTAGCCCTGCTGAGGTGGTCTTGTCGCTTGGGGTACTTGGCTCATGACCCACAAGTCGCGGGATCAAATCTCGGCAGCAGCAACTGCATTTCCGATGGAGGTGAAAAATCTGTAGGCCTGTGTGCTCAGAATTGGGTTTATGGGAAAGAAGCCCTGGTTGTCAAAATTTACGAAGCCCTCCACTATGGTGTCTCTCATAATAATATGGTGGTTTGGGAAGTTAAACCCAACGCATCAATTAATCAATCAATCAATCAATCAATCAATTATTCAATCAATCAATTGTCTCTAACTCTATCGCGAAGTGCTCTGAAGGGTGGTCGCACACTGCTCTAGCTTTATTCATATTATTTTCAGACCTACTCTCCTGATTTGCATGTCCAATTGATTAATCATGAGGGGTTGTTTGTATCCTGGGTTATTCATCATCCAATGCCATCTCCAAATTACAGGTTACACTGATACTCACCAATAGCTTTTATACGTAATTTTTCCCAATCTGGGGCCTGGCCACTTCTGGTAAACGCCTCGCAGACAGCACTGGAGATATTGAAGATATTGCGCCTTACTCTCTTACACCTTCCGTTATTGGGTTTCTATTGCTTTCTTCACGGAGGACTATGATGACTGTGCATCCACTGTAGATTTCTTTCAGTATGTTTATATAGAATTCGTGAATTCTGCCTCGGCTGCATCGCTGCTGACATCTCAGTAGCAGGAGTCACGAATTACGCAAAAATTTAGTTTAGGCGCTCAAAAATACCTGAAAAAGGAGACGAAGAATGTTGTCTTAGCTCCATTGGTGGATCATCGAGGTTGGGGGTTCAGAGTTACCGTAGCATACATCTTTCACTTTAAATCAGGATTCTTAAACTAACGTTGAACAAAAAAGCAAACATTGAGCCGTATGCTTTAGTTGGCTTCATGTTTAGTTGTTTTTTCATTGGTTGTGTCTAAGAGGAGTGCCGGGATACTCGAGACGCCTGGTGCCACACTAAGCCATTTGTAGAGATAAGCTGTGAAATCAATTCGGCAATCACGACATCCACAGCTATACTGAAGCCCGAATGTAAAACCACGAGTTTACTTATAACTCAGTGAATTCACATCACATGGACAAGCTGGCCTGAATATTTCTTGAGGAATCGGGATCAGAGCTGTAAGTATTCTCTTATACGGATATCTGAAAGAAGCAGTGCTCGCGCTTCATTAAGCAGGCGTCCTGAACAATATAAAACCAAATGCGTAGCACTTGTCACTCCAAGTGAAAATTCTATCAATAACTTTCATTGGTGTTATTGGTACGGTGATTAAACTTGCCATGAGAAGGGCGAGTTATTTCAGAGACCGGAACATACCGCTGACTATGGACGCCTGATGAGGCCTACGAACGATCACTCTCCCAAATTCAGACATGACGAGTGAGTGCATTGAAAAAAAAACAACAACAAACAAAAATATGTTTTTTTAGTTCGAAATATTGATAGAACACTGAGACACGGTGATCTGCACCACGTATAACATATTCAACTGTTCTGTATTTTGGTTTAACCAACGGGGATCAATCGGCATTTGAAATTCGCTCTAGCATCGGTGTAATTATTCCGTATAAAGTTCAACACATTGCGCGTATTCTTGACTCTGTGTTAGCCGGCGCCTGACGATTGGAAACCCAGTCGCGGGCATGGTAGAGCGTGGTCAAAGTCGACGTCGTAAGCGGCCAGGGCGAATTTCAGGTTCAGGTGAAACTTCTTGCCGTTACATGCCTGTAAAATGAAAAAGAAAACATCGCCGATTTCTCTTCATAGAAATTGATGTGGCACGAAAGCTGAACGTGTCTCCACAGAGGTAGGTGGCGTGTATGGTGCAGTCTTTAGTCACAAGAGTGAATAAATAAATGCATAACAATGAATGCCCACAAACGATGAACATGAAGAACACCATATAATGATGGTTATGTATAGGTGACGGAGAAGCGTCGCTTAAAGCCCCACAGGATATGTGTTCCGTACCGCAGCTGACACCAGCATGATCACGCAGACGACCTCCTCAGCTTCTCACATAGACCTAGACAATCCGTTTTGAACAGTACTAGGATAAATGCATCGCCTCGCTGATTGAATTTCCAACGGAATAATCATGAACAACAATCACTCACGTCTTCCAGCGTCAAGCTCACCATTCGGGTCATTCTCAATGACCTACTTCATCAACGCAATCATAACTCGGACGGCCACCATAGGCTACTGGTAATACATCGCACTCTGCGTTTGGAAATATGCCATTTCCTCTAGGTCGAGCCGCATTGTGAACCTTCGAAAATAGCCAAAACGCATTCAACAGCTGTACTTCTGCCGAGGAATGTTCTGTTACATGCCAAAGTTCTTTCACTATCACCTCGATTGTCAACGCCAAAATCTTTCAACAAAGTTGTCGCCAGCAGGTTTATAAGCTTATTTACCTTATCCTGGCCCTAAGTGGTCTTTTGGGTGCATGAGCATTGATTTGTATGAACCACTTCCTGTGACGTCAACTGCTAACCAATTGGCCATCGTCGCTGTTGAACATCTCATGCGGTAAGCCAAAACCACCACCCTCCCATCGGGAACAGCGCTGGATGTTGTCTTCGTGCTCCTCCACCCATCGATACTACGTAACGAACCACCCCAAGAGCTGCTCAGAAATCAAGCCCATGTCTCCTTGTCGGAAGTCGCTAAAACCATTCTACCTAAACATCATGGTTTCTATCACACAATCACTCCTTAGTATCAACAGGCAGAGGCTCTTACCGAATGCTATACCCGTACACTCGTCAACATGCTCCCACTGCGTATCATCGCCTATCACACAAATTGGGATGTTATTCCACCCTTCGTCATTTACGCCTGCCATGCCATCTCAAAGAGCACTACAGAAGAGTGAAACTCTTCATATTGTACGGAAGGCACCCGTCACACACCGTTGACATGATCCTTCCGTACAAGCCGGATTAGTATGAGTATGCGCAAGATGGAAAACTGGGCTAGTTGGTGAGCATTCATCGTGGTTAACAGCGCGAAACACCCGGACAGGAGCGAAAGAAGGACACGGTACAGCGCTGACTTTCAACTGAAATTTTTATTGAAAAAGGGCTCCTTCTGCAGGCCTTCTTCAGTGTAAAGACGCATAAGCAGAACTATCCTTTCAGGACCATCGTCTCGGAAAGAAGGTCATGGTTAAATGTTATTTCAGGGTACTTGCAGACTAATCTCGCACAGCTTAAGCTGGAGGACCCTTTCGAAGTCGCCAGTTCTAACTGCGTAGTTCAAGTTCTGCAGAATAATAACCCTGGCGGTTGCTTTGGATTCAGCATAGACATAGAAGATCTTTATTATTCCCTGCCTCATGTACAGTTATTGAAATTCGTGCAACAGACCATCGAGGGACAAATGAATGAGTTAGGCTTCGTCGAAAGTTGCAAAATACCGGTTGCTAGCTTCCTAGAGCTTTTGGAGTTTTACTTGAAGTCCACGATCGTTCAGTGGCAAGGAAGGACAGTTATCCAAAGGGCAGGAGTGTGCATAGGTTCCTGCGTAGCGCCAGTACTAAGCAGCATCTTTTTAAGTTTCGTTGACCGCAAAATAAATGATAACCTAGGTGAATTAGCTTTGAGAATTTTCCGCTTTGTGGATGACTATTTGGTTTTCGTCAATAGGCTAAATTTCCAAAGATCGATTGTGGACGTCGTAAAGTTGTTTAATGAACAGGGACAAGGTCTTAGGTTTACTATTGAGGTTCCTGAAAAGGAGGAGTTGCAGTTCTTAGACCTTAGACTGTCTTTCAAAGCGGAACATGTGTGTTGGACCTATCAACCGAGGTCAAAGAAGTCTCTTCTTGATTTCAGATCAGGGCACTCGAAATTGATTAAACGAGGTATAGCCACTTCCGCTATAAGGTCCGCCCTCAATAAGAGTTGTCCCCATCGTATGCTTGACAGCGTTAACTATCAGGTGGAGAGGCTGCGTGATGCAGGCTTTCCTCACTCTATCATTTCTACGACTTGCGATAAGCTGCTGCGTGAGGTCAAGGGGCAGTCCTCCCGAGTGAAAGAAAAAGATTTTAGCCGTTCTGTCTACATTCCATATGTTCATTCTTTTTCGCACAGATTAAAGAAAGTAGCATCTAAGTTCAGATTAAACGTTGGGTTTTCAAGCAGAACGAAGCTTAAGGGACTTTGCCAGGCAGTAAACACTCGCATAGAAGGCAGGAAGACTGGAATTTATCAGCAGTGTAGTATCAAACATACTATGAAGTTTCTCCCGTGCATGCAGAATGTCGTGTACTCAACCCCATTTTCATGCGGGCGAGAGTACATTGGTCAGACCGGGCGTTGTGTCAATATATGGCTAAGGGAACACCACAGTTCCTTGAAAGGATTTGCGCATTCACATTTGTCTTTGCATTGCCGCGAATGTGGATGCCACCCACTTTTTGAAAAAACAAAAGTACTCTTCAAGCACCCAGACAAGCTTTCAAGAGAAATTATGGAGGCATTTTTTATAAATAAGAAAGGGTCTCAATGCGTTAGCCAGCCGTCTATCGCCTTACTTGGTAATGAATTATCTTTGTTAGATAGTGGCTAAAGTTCATTCGTCTGCTCATGCCCGGTTTTCTTGGCGACATTGGAATCTTATAGTTTGAAGTATGTGTTATTTTGTGGCAAGATTGCGTGCACATGACAAAGCCTTGTCGCCGTGTATAATTTTATCGATTGAGGGGGCTGGTTTGGTCACGAGGTCTTCTTTTCTGTCTATATATATATTCTCGTGTTTTCAATAAAAATTTCAGTTGAAAGTCAGCGCTGTACCGTGTCCTTCTTTCGCTCCTGTCCGGGTGTTTCGCGCTGTTAACCACGATGAGTATGCGCTTATTTTTGCCTCGGCCAGGCTTGCAAAAAGTGTCGCGAGCTTGACGTCATTGCAATACATGAAGAATAACGACGAAAGAAGAAGAGCATTCACGGTAGCATCGGTTCTTCTAAGACCACGTTCCTCCCTAAATTACCAGTATATGGCTCTCCGTTCTGCCCCTGCGACTGGCCTATTTTGAAAACCACTAGCCAAATACGATGACCTCTACAGTTTCATCAAACGCACCTCTCCGGACAACCACCTAATAGAATTCATTAAACCCATTTCGAACATGCACCATCGAGAGCACGAGATTGTCAACGCGGAGCTCGTCGAGTTATACCATTACTCGCTCATAATTTGGCTGACTCGAGTGGTTGACCGGCGGCTCTTTGAAGTGGTCGCCAGCCGGAATTTCGTACGCAGGGTCACTGTAGCGTTAGCGCTACGCATGGACTGTGCACTTCAGTGCTTTCTAGTGGGTTGTCCTCTTTGGCTACTTTCTTTCTTGACAGGACATCGCTCGCATTGACGATCCGTGCTTTGCCATGGCTGTCACCATTGGGTATTGTAGCCGAGTGCCATCGTAAAAATTCCTGAACAATGCCTATACTTTTAATCTTTGATTTTTTGGCAGATCACTGTTTGGTACGACGTCCACGAGCTGTGTTCGAAGATTAATTTTAAAAGCATGGATTTACACTACACTAAATTATCGCGACCAAAAGGAAATGATGCCATGAATTCAAAACTGAGATTTGCCTCTTTCTGCGCAAGAAGGAAACATGGCTGATCCGAAAGGCAAGATTTATTTGTTTACACCTTGAGTACGATTATGAAATCATATTAACTTGCTTTTTTTCCGAAATTATATTTAGTGCACTATAGTAAATTTTGAATACTTAGCATAGAATAGTTGAACTGAGCATGTTGCTGAAATCACTGTTCTACAACCTCACATCACATCAACCCTCGATCTTCTTTTCAGCTTCGGTCTACATCGCTTGTCAAGGCATAACACAGCCGCAGAAACTACATGCGTCATAAACTTGGGCCTGCCCCACCGCAAAGCCCTATTGGCTAAGGTACTCGGCTGCTGACCCGTAGGTCGCGGGATTGAATCCGGGCTGCGGTGGCTGCATTTCTGATGGAGGCGGAAATGGTGTAGGCCCGCGTGCTCAGATTTGGGTGCACGTTAAAGAACCCCAGGTGATCAAAATTTCCGGAGCCCTTTTCTACGGCGTCTCTCATAATCATGTGATGGTTTTAGGACGTTAAACCTCACATATCAATATATTTGTGCTTTATTGTTATAAAGAAAATCTACCACCCATGCTTGCCTGTGGTTAAGTTGCTACATGGATTACCGGAAGGTGACGGGATCAAATCCCTGCAGCAGCTTCTGCATCTTCAGGAAGGTGAAATGCTAGCGTCCTTAGATCTAAGTGCGCCTTAATAAATAGCAGAAGGCTGAAATCTAGGAAGCTCATCACCGCTCTTTTCTTCATCATTACATTGAGGTGGTGTGAGGTAAAATCTGTACAATGAGTAATACTTATGGCAATCAAAAAAGAGAGCGATGTGTTCTCACCATTTGCGTTATTGTGGTCTCAGTCAAGTAGGTGATTGTTTTCTTCTCTCGCATGTTGTAGGCCAATGAAGGTAGTTTCGGAGACCAGTCATCTTGTGGGCAGAACTATAGAAGGAAAGGAGAACTGTTATTGCAATGCCCACAAAAGCAAACGCGGTATTGTGGATACATTCAGAAAGGCTGATAGTGTTCTAGAGGTAAGGAGTATTTCAGGCAGCTCTGGTTTATCACAAATACATATTACAAAAAAATATGGGGGCGGATGTATTGCGGAAATGCCATCACGGTGACGCATGCTTGCCATGCTTACTACTAGCAGTAGAAATAAAGCTGTATATAGGACGAACCCGTGCCCAGGAAATGAAAAGCCAAAGTACAAAGAATTCATGCTGTACACTAATAGTGGCAATCTCAATCGTCAGTGATCGGTAATTTTATCACCGGTGGAACGACTTCTTCCTTAAACACCTGTGATCAAATTTTCCGGTGTTAAAGCTTATGCTTGCACAATATTAGCCAAACAATTTGAAACAATTGCAAAACTTTTTTTAAAATCTTATGGTGTGTCATGGGTGGAGCAGTGCTGTTTCGCGGTGTCAGCCGAAGTCATCACGAATAAAGAAATAGGTGCGCGAGATATCTTGCCCTCGAACTGCATACGTTCTGGCGTACCGGAACGAGGGCATCGTTTGTTCAGCAGCGTCATAAATCATCATCATCAGCATCATCATCATCAGCATCAGCATCAGCCTGACTATGTCCACTGCAGGACAAAGGCCTCTCCCATGTTCCGCCAGTTAACCCGGTCCTCTGCTTGCTGCTGCCAATTTATACCAGCAAACTTCTTAATCTCATCTGCCCACGTAGCCTTCTGTCTCCCCCTAACCCGCTTGCCTTCTCTCGGAATCCAGTTAGTTACCCTTAATGACCAGCGGTTATCCTTCCAACGCGCTACATGCCCGGCCCATGTCCATTTCCTCTTCTTGAGTTCAACTGTGATATCCTTAACCCCGGTTTGCTCCATGATCCACTCTGCTCTCTTCTTGTCTTTTAAGCTTACGCCTATCATTTTCCTTTCCATCGCTCGCTGCGTAGTCTTCAATTTAATCGGAGCCCTATTTGTAAGTCTCCAGGTTTCTATTCCATAGCTAAGTACAGGCAAGATTCAGCTGTCATATACCTCCCTCTTGAAGGATAGTGGATATCTACCAGTCGTGACTTGACAGTGTTTGCCAAATGTGCTCCACCCCATTCTTATTCTTCTAGTTACTTCAATCTCGTGGTTCGACTCCGCGGTTATTACCTGCCCTAAGTAGACACAGTCTTTCTCAACTTGAAGTGCACTATTACCTATCTCGAAGCGCTGCATTTTTCCAAGGTTGTTGTACATTACTTTTGTTTTCTGCAGAGCACGAAGGCTTGATAAACTCCGCTGAGCACGAAGGCTTGAGCCTTCGTGCTCAGCGGAGTTTATTCTCACCCTCGCACGGCCAGCACCAATAAGGCTGAAATTTTTTAGCCGCACGTATGAATGCCAACGCGGTTTACCACTGACCATATTAAGGACGGCCAGAAGCCTGTTCGAAGTTATCAATTTACACCTAATATTGCTTGGAGTTTGAATTCTCGTTTCCCTGCACAAGTTTCCCGACGTAAAAAGCTTCTGTCGTCAGCCAACAACAGCTGCTGTCGTCATCCTCATGACCACGTGACCGCAAGGATACCATGATTGTCAAGGATACTATTTATTTATTTATTTATTGATACTGCCGTCTCGAACAGAGACTACAGCAGGTGTGAGACAGAGGTACAGAACATTCATAATGTGAGAAAATATAAAAAAAAGTCAGGGCGAAACTTACAAGTATTAGCAAAGAATTGTCTCAAAAGTTCGTGCAGTTTATTTATTTATTTATATTTGTGTTTAATACTCTCTAAGCCAAAATGCATTGTTGAGGGGAGTGGGTAAATGCATGAAAAATAGAATTAAAACAGTGCAGTGGATGAACAATACTTCATATTATACAAGAATAGCAGTTATTTTAAGAAAGAGTAAAATTAATACCAGCCATAAGTGCAGGTAACATTTTTCTGGTTAAACAATGTTAGCTAATGTTTTGTGAAAAAGTCTGCAGTCAGTGATGGTTGCAACACTAGATTAAGCCAAAAACCTGAGAAGTGGAGATTAGCTCTGACGCTTTTGTGTCTACAGTAGCTTCAAGAAAACGCAATACTTCGGCCTGACTAGGAAGCATCCAACCTTGCCTTTAATTCATAGCCACTTTCCAACAGCATGGCTTTCGCGAAAAACTAATATTGTCAGGTGGTAGAGGCGCTGACTGTGGTGCTTGGTGAGTAGGGTCGGCCTATTCTGGCGTTATACCTGCCTTTTGCGCTATTGCAGAACGTCGTTCATCGGGCAGGGTATCTGATAAGTCAAACAGAAATTATCTCACGTAGTTTCTGCTTACACAGGCTTGGTAGTATGCACTTTGTGAACCAATAATCAGGATAGAACGAAATACATGTATTTACCCATTTTCTCCTTATAGCAGGCAGCCGCAGTCTGGACTACAGATGGGTGTATTAACAGAGAAGAATCGCTTGGCGAGATAGAGGTAACCGAAAATTCCATCCATACTCGACAATATGGGCCTCAACTCTATTGACAATCCGTGCGGATTCCCAGAGACATCAGGTCTCAGCTGCATTTTGCAATAATTCCCTGCGATGTGCCCACTGCCCACAACGTCGGTCAACGTAAGGCCAGGAGTAGATATCTCTTCGAGCATGTCCGTAGTCAGCACAGTAAGCAAGCTTCTTGGATGCAATGGAACATGTCCTAAAGAAGGCAATCGGTGTTGCCATCGTCGGCTTCCATTCAAGGCTCACTTGCTTCGCTACCGAACGTACATCGAAGCCTGTGATAGCCGAAGAGGTTGCATTCGCGCTGGCGGTGCTGGATAGTCGCAGAGAGTCAGTAGAGCGACTACAAGGCGGCTATCAAGGCCTTACGAAGCCGGGATGGTCACCGCTGAAACCACCGCGTCCCTTAAAACATCTGAAGAACCCCGCCCCATTATCTCACTTGGTTTCCCACTCACTCGGGATAAGACTGTGGGTTAGCTTCAACACATGAGGCCGCTCGAGGATTGACTAACCGCGCCGCCACCGTAGCCTCCCCCCCCCCCCCCCCCTGCTTCGCGCGCAACCTTTGATTACACTCAACGGCATAAACTAACGCTTTTCTTTGCAAAGAAGGACATTCTCCCTCTCTCACCTACAGGATATTGCAAGCCTGTGCGTAACCCAACGCTGCAGTTGTTCATGCCATTATAGCCTGTACGGTAATTGCGTGTGGACTGTTCTGCATGTGGACTGTTAGCAGCATTCAACCGTACGTTGTGCAAATGTGAAGCCACCGAATTCGCTTTGAGCGAGGACAGTAGGAAGCGTTATTGCGAAGCTTTGAACTCAACGACCTAACCCTGGCTGTCCAGAGTGCCCGTAAACTGGCCGCCAAGATAGGCTTGGTGGTCCCTATGGGGACTAGCGGGGTAACGCGGGGTCTTCACTGCTTGTTCCCTGGACAAAGTAACGTTTTCATCATCATCATCATCAAATTACTAGGTGTTCATTTCAAGCGGCTCAATGTCGAGATATGAATTCATGACAGTGTTTGCCATTGCGATTGCGCGTCTACTTCGATAGCAAAAAGCTTCAAGAAGAGCATGCAATCGGAAGGATAATACGTCGCCTTATCGACAATAAAATGGTGAAACAGCCTAAGAAAGCAATTGACGGTTCTGCGTAAGGAAGCCAGAAATTGGTTTTGGTGTATATGAATAGGGCAATGCTCAGATTACGTTATAATTTCGCATATGCACTGAAGGCATGATACAATGAACATTCACCATCATAGAATTAGCCCACTGCGTCACTTGAGCGCCACTTGCGTCACTTGAAGAAAGTAAATGGAGGTATAGGTAAGAATAGTTTTAAGCGTTTACTCTAAGGTAGCGATTCTGATAAAAAAGCAGAAAATGTAGTCGAACAGGAGATTTGTTACCATTCGACGTGGAAGCTGAATCTTCAGGATAAAGCTTTCGATTTATATTACTGGAGCGATGGCAGCTGTCGTCTACTTGCCCTACTTTATCGGACAGTTCTGTACTTGTAAGCCTTACAGTATAAGTCAACGCCACTCTATTCATTGAGCATTAGACGCGACATTTGAAGGCCGTAGGTCCGATGCTTCATTAGTGGTGAGTATTATTTAAATGCGAAGAAGCTTTGGATAGCCTGTGTAACGCTCTCCCTTCGTCCGCACCGTGCTCCCCTGGCCACACTTGTTGGGACGGTGCCAACTAGGTCACGCCTTCCGTCGCAATGCGTGCGCGTAGACGTCACTCTCTCCATAGCCTGTCACCGCTCGCCGCGGATCATCTCTCTCGCTTCACCCTCTCCACCGCTCGCAACGTTCGAGCGCACATCGAGCGAACAGCCTTTCGGCGATGAAAGTTACAGGAAACCCAACCAAAGCAAACGTTCACTCGAGTAAACGCTACACCGAGTTTCGCTTCAAACCGTTCTTCCAACACCTGCGTCGACGCCCGTTTCAACCTAGTCGATGCCGCGCACACCACTGCTGCTTCGCGTTCCATCGAGGTTCCCTTCGGGGAGACGGTCCATAATTTTTGCCGTCTTTATTTCATTTGGTTTATCTTAAAATCAATGCACTATACATAAAATCTACTTGTATAGTGCAGTATATTTTTTGGATTTGTTGTTCTGTGGTTTTGTGAGGTTGCTTCTAACAAGAAAATGTTATCCTTCATCATTCATTCTCATTTTCGCTATCACTCATTTTGATAGAGATGGCAGTAATGACATTGCATAGAAATAGGGAGACCCTAAATTGATTTTACACCTATGCAATGGGTGAGAAATTATATTTTTGTTATAAATGGTTTTTTGTTATTTATATTGGTAGTAATGGAGAATGGTAGGTTATCTCACCACTTTTGGGTCCTCGTAGTATGGCTCCGGATGATCCTGGCACGGCTTAAATAGCTGAAATTCGTCCAACGCCGGTGAAGCAGGATCGGCGAACTTGGGGGTGTAGTACACTCCTTTGAGACTAAACGAGATTCCAAGAGGAATGGAAAAGCCTGCCTTATCCACTTCACCAAGCAGCGCCAAGGTTTCATTCTGCGAACACGTGCCAAAAAGAGAGTGAAGCCCTGCATGCTATTGGCTGATGCCTGTCCACGCCATAACAGTGCATTTTGGCAGTACAATACCCTTCTGAGCTACCAGTCGTCAGCAGTTAAAAGTGATCAGGGATACTCCGTCGCACGCTGCCAAAATGTGACCCAACGGCATACGCAAAGGTATGACATGGTTGTAATAAAAATATCCCTCGCTCGCTTATGCATTCGAATGAGACTCCAGGAAAGCTATAGCCATGTTTTTCATTAGAGAAGATTGCATTGACGCTTCTGTCACCTCCTTCTCTGGAGTCATTCTGCACCCCAATGGTGAGGTTTAACTCTATGCGTAACTTTCACGTGAACCAACAGAATTTTGCACCGCTTCTGAATTGAAGCCAATGGAAACATGGATTTGCAGTTGCTCTAGCATGGGGCCAGTTATACTGAGCGGTGATGTCACATGGTGACGTCATCATGTGATAAACGCTACAGGGACAAATATTGATCATGTGATAACGTGTTCTTTTTCATCTATATTGTTGACATCGATACCACTGACTTCAACAGCCACTTTTCTCGTTTAGTTCAGCATGTTATTCCTGCGTTTTAGAAGCTAGGCAGCCATTTTTATACGCAACCCGTGGCTGTGTCAACTTATCAATAAGAGCAAAGCTCGAAAGCGCATTGTTGCACCTTGAGGGGACGTAAAATATCAGAAAAGGCTATTTGCTTTACTGGCAAACGCCTGGTAGTGTAGATTGTTGTTATACCTGACATTTACAAAGGACCTAAGCGTAGCAATTAAGACCTTTCGCACATCTGCGTCTTCTCACAGCGAATCTATTTACGCTCGAAGTTAGGCTGGTGTAGTATAAGAAAACCTTGGTGGGGACGCGCCACTGAAACCAGTACATAGCAAGCACCTGTTGGCACAGCACAGCCATGTCAATTATAACAAGGTGGTGGGAGAGCATACTGAGGGTGAGGAAAAGTGGCGGGAGTGTGAGGAAGAAAAAAATGGCAGATCCCACGTACAGTAAGAATCGATGATATGCGAAGCACGAATTAGGAAGGTTGATATGTCACTTCAAGATCACCACAACGTTACGAGATGGAGGTAAATTATGCCGTACACGACTACAGTGTCATGATTGTCATGTCTAGATGTGTCGATTACCTTCGTCATCTATTCACATGACGTGATGCCAAATTTAGTATATGTGAACCTAGTGAAACTGCCGCAAGCACTCTATGAACGCGGTATGTTGCCATGTTCTTACACAACACGCGTGTCATAATTATCATCTTTGCACCAATCAAATACCTTCTTTATTCATTGACGCCACGTAACACCAAATTTGCTATATGTAAAGCTAGTGAAACGGCCGCGAGTGCATCATGAAGGACCCAATACACTTCAACGTAACGTTGACACGCGCCCATGCTGCGCACAGTGACGCTATAACGTTAGCAAAACGTCAGAACCCCAGTATGACGCCATGCGCGACTGGCCGACAAGCGTCTCTCGGCTAGACTCGACGGCAAGCGGCGCGAAATGCGACATGCTGCATTTCTCACCCAATACGTTACCTAGGCAGCACTGCGCCTGCCTTTTTTCGTGAAGGAGGGATGCCGCTTGCTGAAACGCGCATGCGTCAAAGCAACGCAGCACGGCGCGCGTCTGCGAGTATATGGCAGGACCGACGACTGGCGTGGCAACGCCGGCGTGACGCGACGAAACGAACGCCGGCGCGCACGCGCGCACGCGCGCCGTGTCACGTCGACATGTGTTGACGCTTTGACTGTGGCATATTGTCATGTTGTCACATGACACGCATCTCATCATTATCTTGTTTGCACCAGTTACATACCTTCGTCATACATTGATGTCACGTAATACCAAATTGGGCATAAGTGAAGCTAGCAAAACGGCCGCGATCACATCGTTAGTGTGGCATGTAGTTATTTTGTTACATGAGACGTATGTCGTGATTATCATGTTTGGATTTGTCATTTACCTATGTCGTACATTCACGTACCGTAATACCAAATTTCGTGTATGTGACGCTAGTGAAACGGCCGTGAGTGCATTATGAGCGTGGCATGTAGTCATGTTACATGACATGCATCTCATGTTTATTATGTTTGCACCAGTCTTATACCTTCGTCATCCATTCACGTAACGTAAATACCAAATTTGGTATATGTGACGCTTATAAAATGGCCGCGAGCGCATCAAAAGCGTGGCATGTAGTCATGTTGTTGCATGACACGCATGTAACGATTTTTATGTAAGGGTCTGTCGCTTGTGTTCACCATGCATTCATGTCATACAATACTAGTTTTGCAACATGTCATGCAAACGAAACCACCGCAAGAGCAGCAAGACCATGAAATGTAAATTATGACATTCATGACATACATGTCATGATTTTCATCTTATGACTAGTCAAATATACTCGTAATTCAGTGATGTTATGCCACACTAGGTATGATATCCATACCATTATCCAAACAGCCAGGAGAGCTAAAAGTCGTAGGCGGCTATATAGATAGATAGATAGATAGATAGATAGATAGATAGATAGATAGATAGATAGATAGATAGATAGATAGATAGATAGATAGATACGCTCGAAGTCGCTGAAGTTCGCATAGAAATGCTCCGCATATAAAATGGGAGAGGATGAAGCACGCCGTAATTCCTCAAGAAGTAAAAATTTTGTCTTTTAACGAACCTCTAACCTATGCAGCAATGACTTCCTGTTCTGTTGGAGGAGCTGATCATTGTTGATTCTACTCCCTGTTTACTCTGCGTGAACCCGCCGTTTAGCTTAAAAAGAAAGCTTGCCTCCGGTTGGAGAATCTATGCTTTTCTTACGATATTCTCTCCCGCTGTGGACGGTAAACCATTTCTTCGGAAGTACATATCAACAGCAGTTCGAAGTCCGAGGGAATACGTACGATCGTGTGCCCGTAGGTGTAGTCTTTCCCACGAACAAGGTTTGGAGGCAGAGTCTCCATGACCACTGGGAAGATGAAGCAGTCTGTGAAGTTTCTCACCGGGTAGGAGAGATGAGAGATGGCGATGAACATTGATGGAGTGAATACGGTTCTGAAAAGAAAAAGCGCAGTTTTATATTCTGTCGTATACATCATGTGTAACGCTGTTGAAGCCAGCGAGATTTCTTGAAGTCGATGGGTTTACAACAACTGCAAAGTTCTTACCACCAATAATTGATCTTTTTTTTCGTGATTACGGCGAGAAGTAATTGAACATAACTTCTGCCTCACAAATATAAACACCATTGAATGTCTCTTAATATGCAACTGTATAACTGAGTTTTTATTTAAACATACTGTTAACCCTTTGGAGGGTTTTTACAGGAGTGGGAGCAAAAAGAAAAGCACAAAAAGCAGCCACATCAAAAGTAACAGGTGAGTTTGCAGGTGACGTCACGATGGTGGCCACCTGGACTTTCTGACTCATGAGACAGTGTCGGTGCAGGAGAGGATACTACACAGTTGTTCGGCCCCCGCGTTCGTTTGCGCCCTCCCCGCTTTCTTCTGTTCGCCAGTCGGGCCAAGGGGGAGCACAAGGTAAGGCGAGGGTGCACCAGGGACTATATAATAACATGACACGCAAGTGCCTCCGAGACGCGCAGAGTTGTACGTTTTGCTTGCCGAATTTTTCGTACAGCTTCCACAGCGTGACACCTGATTTATAAAATGGAGTATAGGTACAGTGATGATATTCCGCTCAACCACAAAATATAGGCAAACCTAAAAAAACCTTAGAGCACGCTAAGAGAAGAAGATAGCATGTCTCCTGCAAAAATTATTGGTTACCCGAATGCACACGATGCGGTTATATTTCAAAGCCTGTGCAATACGTCACGGTGCGCATTCCGGAAGCACTGGCTGTGTGTAGCCTATTGTCTTTTACTTGCTTTCTGTAGTTTAGATTCTTTCAGTTGTGAACGAACAACTTTGGTTGTATCAAGCTGTCAGTGTTACACGTTTAAGTACCACGATTAGCACTGCTCCCATTACCGATTGTTTTGCAGTTTACGATTGACATGTCGAGTTTACCGTCCCAAAACCAGCTTATGAGCGACGCCGTAGTGGACGGCTCTGAAAGTTTCGACAACCTGGGGTTCATTAACGTGCACCCAAATCTGAGAACGAGGGCCTACAGCATTTCCATCTCCATCGGAAATGCAGCCGCCGCAGCTGAGGTTTGATCCCGCGACCTGCGGGTCAGCAGCCAAGTACCTTAGCCACTAGACCACCGCGGCGGGGCTGTTTTGCAGTTTACAGCCGCCAATCATTAGCACAACATGAGCCCCATCGTTATTAGCCTAAAGGCCTCCTATGTGGACAACCTATATGGGGTCTTCGCCTAACTAAAGAAACCAACCAATCATTGTTAGCGGCATTTATCAACCATTGACTGTCACAGCATGTGCGCAAAATATTTTCTGTATGTGCACATCGTGAATTTGAAAGCAATCGCAAGAAACAAAAATATAATCAATGCACAGTTATCAAGTAAAAACTGCAGCATTTATTTTTTTCATAGAAATTGAAAAAATTCCCTAGTGGCTATTGATATAGCCAATATATAGAGAATGATCCCCTTTTTTGTTTTGTATTTTGAACAAACTATGCGCTTTTATAGTGCGAGTGTTTCATGACGTCAACTGTTGACCACTGGTAAAGGTGTAACTCAATGCCTCCGCAAAGATTAACGCCGACGTATCGAGTTTAGCACGACAAAAAACGTGGTCGTTGCCTGATGACGCTCTCCTGTGCAAGCCATTTTATCACCCACTTTTTCGCCACTTCTCTTTTTTGTTGAAAGTCTGCTGCGGAAGACATGTTCGCTCCAACAAACCTTGTTATCGAAAAAAAAAATGTGTACCAGTCTTTGCCACTTGACTATGTTTCAGTGCATAATAAATATGACCAAAAATATGTCAGTCTTGTAAAGTTGATGGAAAATTGATTGATATTGGAACGGGGAGTATTTAATAGGTTAACGCCGGTTGGGCTAACACTGCACACAGTGTGCAAGGATGCAGGACAACAGGGCAGTCCAGACACAGCGCCACAACAACATCGTCGTCTTCATTATTTCTGCGCCATTTCTGCACCCGTGCCTGAGGTGCCTTTCAATACCCGTGACATTACCCCGGGTGGCAAAGCATCGTCCCGGTGCCTGCTGTTTTTAGACGGACGGGTCACTGTGATAGGGCTTCAGGCGAGACACATGCACAATGTTACTTCTGGATGTAACAGGGGGGTTCGTAGTAAGAGAAATTTCATAAGTGACAGGTGTGACTTTTCGCAGAACTCGATAAGGCCCAATGTATTGCGATAAAAGTTTCTCACACAGGCCGACACGATGGGATGGCAGCCACAGTAGCACGAGAGAGCCAGGAGAAAAATCGACATCACTATGTTGGCTGTCGTAAATCGACTTTTGTGCTCTTTGGGATAATCAAAACCTGGCGCTGCTATTGTATGTGCGATTGGAGCACGGGAGATGGCATCTTGTGCGTACGAAGTGGTGGACTGAAGGTCATGCGCAAGCAGAGTATCGAAAGGTAGTAAGGAATCACGGTCAAAGAGAAGATAAAATGGTCAGTAGCCGGCAGTTTCATGACGTGACGAGTTGTAGGCGGAGGTTACGAACGGAAGGCCAGTGTCCTAATCGGGTGGACGTCAGAAACATACATAGCATGCATGTCCGTCAGTCTGCGGTTGAGGCGTTCAGAAGTCCGTTAGCTGAGGATGGTAAGAAGTCGTAAAGTTGTGCCGCGCAGCATAGGATCTAAGGAGGTCGTCAACCACACGAGACAGGAAGCAGCGCCCACGGTCCGTGAGTGGGTGAGAAGGAGCGCCATGCTGAAGGATGATGTCATAGAGTAGGAAATCTGCGACGTCCGTTGCGCAGCTGGTCGGTAGCGCTCGAGTAATTGCATACCGAGTGGCATAATCCGTAGCTACTGCTATCCATTTGTTTCCCGTTGCCGATGTTGGGAAGGAACTTAACCAAATTCAAACCCACACGATGGAATGACTCAGCTGGGACTTCAATAGGTTGAAGGTGACCGACAGGGAGAGACGAAGGCTTCTTCCGACGTTGGCACAGATCACACGCTTCAACGTAGCAGCGAAAAGAACGATAAAGGCCCTTCCAGAATACCCGTCGGTGGACGCCGTCATAGGTTCTGGAGACACCTAAATGTCCGGAAGTTGGGGCGTTGTGAAGTTCTGGCAAAATGTCCTTGAGCAGATGACGTGGGACGACGAGCAAAAGTTCCGCGCCATCAGGCTGTGTGTTGCGGCGGTACAAAACGTTGTCTTGAAGAAAAAAATAGGCTCAGTGAAGGGTCTTTATGGCCGGAATGAAGGCGGTCAATCATCAATAGCAGCGATGGATCTCGGCGTTGTTTGTCGGCTATTTGCAGAAAATCTGTTATGGTTCGGATGTTGGCATCACGTTCCCACTCATAGGAGTCGCGTGGATTAACAGGGTGTCGAGATAAGCAGTCGGCATCGCTGTGAAGCTTGCCACACTTGTACGTACAGAGAACGTGTACTCCTGCAATCGCAATGTCTATCGCCCGAGTCTTCCTGTAGGATCCTTAAAGGTTGACAGCCACCAGAGCGCATGATGGTCTGGGATGACTGCAAACGTGCGTCCATATATAGGTGCGGACGACATTTTGCGATAGCCCAGATGAGAGCCAGGCACTCTCGCTCAGTAATTAAATATTTCCTTTCTGACTGAGAGTAGGCGGCTAGTGTACGCTATGACGCGATCTGTGCCGTTCTGTATTTGTGCGAGTAATACCCCAACGATATGGCCACTTGCGTCGGTGCGAAGCTCCGTTCGAGCGGCTGGATCAAAATGAGCCAACACAGGTGGTGATGTGAGCGCCGAAATCAATGACGCAAAGGAATGTTTTTCGTCATCACGCCAGAAAGAAGCCACGTTCCTTTTTAGGAGATCCGTGAGGGGCCGAACAATTTCCGTGAAGTTGCTGAAGAAACGGTGGAAATATGAACAGAGTCCCAAAAAGCTGCGGACTTCTTGCGTGGAACGTGGGACCGGGAACTCACGCATCGCGCGGTCTTTATCAGGGTCGGGCCGTACACCAGTAGCGTCAACAAGGTGGCGAAGTAGCTTTATCTGACAGTGCCCAAAGGTGCACTTAGACGCGTTAAGCCGGAGGGCAGCTCAGTGAATAACGTCAAGAATGACCGATTGACGTGGAAAAAGGCTTTCAAAGGTTGGCAAGAAAACTTTGACATTGTCTAGATAGCAGAGGCACGCCGACCATTTAAAACCACGAAAGAGGGAGTCCATCATGCGTTCAAAAGTTGCTGGCGCATTGCACAACTTAAAAGGCATGACTTTAAGCTGATAAAGCCCGTCGGGTGTTATGGATGCCATATTCTCGCGGTCGCGGTCTTCGACTGAAATTTGCCAATATCCTGATCGTACTTCCAGGGAAAAGAAATACTTGGCACCATGAAGGCAGTCAAGAGTATCAACAATTCGAGGTAGAGGATAGACATCCTTCTTAGTTATTCAATTGAGATGGCGATAGTCGACGCAGAACCGCCAAGTGTTTTCCTTCTTTTTAACAAGCAAATCAGGTGATGCCCAAGAACTGGTTGAAGGCTCTGTGACGTCTTTGTCGAGAATTTTCTCTACCTCCTTCTGCATTATTGGGCGCTCTGAATGAGACCCACGGTAAGGACGCTTATGAAGGGGACTGGCATTGCCAGTGTCGATACGGTGGGCTACGACGCTCGTGCGGCCCAAGGAACGGTCGTCGATATGAAAAATGTCGAGGTAAGAAAATAGAAGACCAAGGAGCTCTTCTACTTGGGACGGCGACAGATCGTTTGATATCATTTTGTCTAGGAAAGCTCTATTCTGTGTGGCTGTGACAGGTTCGTCTACGGTCTTGATGCCAGGAGTGAGAGATGAAGTTGTACATTGCTTCAGAGTGGAGAGTGCTGCCAAGGCAATACCTCGAGGAAGGACCTGGGTGGACACGGAGAAGTTGAGGACAGGGAGAAGCGTCTTGTAGTCACTAATTTTCACTATAGTATGAGGAAGTATGATGTTCCGGGGAAGGGTCAGGTCACTGAGTGGAGCTGCCAAGTAGTCGCCATCAGGAACAAATGGGAACGTCGCCATAGAAAGGTACACAGTGGCTTGAGGCGGTAATTGTAGACACTCCTTGGACTGTAGGCGTGTGCGAGCTGCAGGAGGGACATCAGAGTACAAAGGCAACTCTAGCTATAAAGTTCCGGTAGGATTTAACGTCCCAAAAGTAGCATATGAATAATATAGACGCCGTAGGGGAGGGCTCCGAAAATTTCGACCACCTGGGGTTCTTTAGAGGGTCCCTGAAACGGTTTTTCACACTTTGTTTTGGATTACACCAATACTGGAGCAAATCATTTGAACCAGAGTTCAATCGGAACACTAAATATTAACTGAGCCACGAGCACTAAAAAAGTACCCTCCTTCTCCGCTCCGCCTTTCACCCTCCACTGCCCTCAAATCTTCCTTCGAGCACTCGGGGCTAAGCTCCGCCTTCACGGCGCCTGCGTCACGATGTCACAGCGCTTAAATCCCGCCGCTGATTCGATACTGGCAATCTGCGCTGCGCGTTCCACAGCCAATCAGACCAGCTGAAAACGATGACGTCAGTAGGGCAGAACGTGTCACTTGGTGTATGGGCGCTTGAAAACGTGTTACGCCGACTCGCAGCGATTTGCAGCGATTTGGAGCGATTTGCGGCTTGAAAGCGTTGTAATGAAATACACAATTTACGCAAAGAGCTCAAATTGGTCTCTAAATTACCCTTTTGACTTGGTCTACCAGCCCACTGTGTTTGTAAATAATCGTCAAAACCGTTTCAGGGTCCCATTAATGTGCACCTGAATCTGAGCACATGGGCCTACATCATTTTCGCCTACATCTAAAATGCAGCCGCCGCAGCCGAGATTCAATCCCACGACCGGCGGGTTAGCAACCGACTACCTTAGCATCTGGACCACCACGGCGGGGCTTCCTGCTGAGCTAACGAGAAGAACAGCTCCACCTGCATTTCACGGAGTGACTCTCAGTATTTTCATAATTCTTTTAATGACCTCACTCACTCTGTCATAACTTTATTCTGTGGTCTGATTAACAATTTGTATAAAATTATATTTGAAGCAGAAAGGCTTGTTCAGTGGCGATGATGCTTTTTAAGTCACTGTAAGAATAACAGATACCTGGCTTTAGAAGCCTAGCCATGAGGTGCAGGGGTCACGTGAGTTAACACATTTCTTTTCGCTATTGTACACAAATGTATGCACACACTCGTAAAAATGCATGCGCGAGCACGCGCAAGTCTTGTTAGTATTACCACCGGCGTTGAAAAAAATTTTCTGGCTGTTTCCGGACTTGTATTTTATTGTAGAACCATGACCATACCTGCCTCATGAAAGGAAAAGTTGGCGAGTGTAACTATCGATAAATAAACATATTATAGCAAGCACATTTGCACTGCTGCTGATTATAGTTTTGATTAGAGCCAAGTTTGATCGTCTCCATTCATATTTAACCAAGACAGTACTTTAGATTCACGTATACAAATACGTGACAAATTACGATTGAGGTGTTTATTCTTGTGGTGAACTATTGGATGGTTTTGTATATAATATTTATTATTTAACTTTTAATACACTTATACTGTCAGCACATGAGCCAATACAGCAGTTGGGGCTGCAAAGATAATAAGTACAAACGAAGTACAAACGAAGTACATATGTTCAAACAAATTTGAGATATGTTAAAGAAATTTTTATGCTACGTTTGCCTGCGCCTGCGATATCTACTGTTAGTCAAGTTTTATCACTACTGTTTTCAGTTAGATTCGAAATTTCTTATCACCTTTAAGGAATTTCAACAGCAACTAAATATTTCGTCTTATATCAACAATGAAAAATACATCCTTCAAAGGAAACACCCCTTGCACGGACGTTATTAAGCACGTATTTTCTAGCAGAGGGTGCGATTTTTCTATTTTGAGCAATTTATAGGACCCACCGATTTCGTGCAGTGTCGAAAGGAAAATCGGGGGTAATTTTTCGAAAGAAGGTATTTTTCACTGGCCAAAAAAGCGACGCGCAAATTGAACATTTGTGTATACACACTTATTCACTTTTTAGGTTTCTGCGATAACATATTCAGAACCTGTTCATTGGACTGCAAGTGGAAGACACAGGTAAATTTGCCTTCGCTATGACGCGCCCTGTTTATGCAGATTACCTTAACTAAGCTTTAAACTTTAATATACGTTTATATATGGTACAGTTAACAGAAATGCAGACAAAAAGCCACATAAAGACGTGATGAAATCAGCGTCTCCTTTTTGGCAACAAACAGTGAATGGGCCAAATCAAAAGTGCAAAGTTTAAACAGGTCCCTGAACAAAAAAAGCTAAGGGCGTATAAGGCATGGCTGTATAATAATTATTTCAAACTTGTTTCAGCAGCTATCAGGAAAAAAACAGAAAACAGAGATAATGTACAACACTTCTATCTAAAGCATTGACCTGATTCATATAATATGTTTGAAACGCGTCGCTACATACTTTAAACACAAAATATACAAAAAATACATAATAGACATGAAAGCATAATCAACATTCATTAATCAATATACAAAAGTGATGCATACAGATTCATAATACGTGAGACTCACTTCATAGAATTGATGATTTGTTCATTAGCTGTACTGTCAGGGGTCATGCCAATGACGTAATAAGAATGTCTCTTGGCTGAAAACTTTGGTTCCAAGTATTTGTGCAGCTCCTGGAAGGAAAGAATAACAGAATGGGGGTGCTATTCTGGACATTGTCTAATTCCACCATATTGTCAATGGCGGCAACTTAAGCCAATCAGACAGGTCATAGTAACTCACTTGGCCAATCAGCATCAATAAATGGCCGAATCTGACAACATGGCGGAATTCGACAGTGTTCAGAATAGAACCCCGGATGTGGTGAGAATGTTTGGTCGGACCTCATAATAAAAGCTGTGGAACAGCAGTGCCTTGTGGCGTCCTCATGTGGATCGTCATGCCGCGAATCTTACTAACCTGTTTTCGCCCGGTTAAATGATACGATACGCTTCATTTCTGCGAAAATAATATATTGCTAAAGAGAAAACAGAATGTCCGTGAAAGAAATGGCTCCGAAATGGAGGATGACGGATCGAAGGGACGAGGAACGGTGTTATTACCACTCTTGTTCAAAAAGCAGGGATGCACCTCCCAAGCCAATCGGTCTAGGCGAAAAGCACTCAACACGCAGTTCACGTACTTGACATCGCGATATGAGCGAATGAGGCGAGCGTTGGGGAAATCTGCTGGAGACGCATTTGCCCAAGGCGCCTTCAACAAGCCGTATCCTTAATTGAGGCAGTTGAGGCGAATGTGGACTCCATGAGCTTCAACCACATCAGAGGAAACCTTTGAATCAGCCATGGTTCTCTTGTTTTGTCTCAGGGTGCTTTCGCGAAAAAAAACATTAAGACAAGTAGAGATGATGCGTGTTCACGGGGACCAAAATATAAGTAAACACACACGCGTCTGTGTCTTGGCTTCGCACCAGCTACAGAAGCTCCGTATTCTGGGCCAGTTTGTTCCTCAGACATTGTCGCCCGACTCTCATATTACATAAGTACAGAGAGATGACAAACAGGTAGGCCTCATAATCTACCCTGTTTCGAGGAAGCGGGGTGGGCAGAGATGCACTTCGGCTCCGAAATGCCTTGCATAGTGCCCAATCACCTACGCTGTTTCACATCTTCACACTAACACATACAAGAGGACATAAGAACGCGAAGCCTTATCCACAAGACAACTAAGCCAGCTCTAGCTATTCCAGTGGCTGTCTCCAACGCCGAACTAAGTGCTTTGGGCATGCTCAACTCTTGTCTAGAGTTGTGGGAGACTCCCCTCATGATTCCACAATCGCGGCTCATGCAGTCGACCCCTAGGGGCCACCTTCTCTTCCGCTTATGCGCGTCCAACACGCTTGCACTCAAGAGACGGTGCCAGCGTATTCGAGAACCGTGGCGCCTATGCTCCAAGTATCTCTGCTCCTCAGTAACATGAAGATGCTGGCTCAGCAGTGGAGAATACGAGCGCTGGCTGGGATGCTTGAAAGACAACCCGGTACCCGACCTCGAGTGCACTACGCAGACACAGCAGGACCACCGACCAAATACCTTCACATGGCCGCCACGGTTCACCAGGAAAATCTCGTCAACGTACTCTCCATGTGAGCACGAATTTTGAGTAAGAGAGAAGAAGTAGCGATAGCACTTGCATCCGCGGAATACCGGTTCGGGAATTATAATAAAAACTCGCAGAAAGTATGTGCTTACTGCTTGGCAGGCGAAATATCTTTCGCAGCCAGCCGCATTCAAAGACGGGCTACAACTCGTTCAGCCCCGAAACGTGAATTTAGGTTCCGGGCCATGAGGGCTTACAAGATGATGAGGGCACTGATGCGGCTACTCGGGCGCTTAGCCAGCAGGCTTCCCAACCGAGCTACTACCTGAAAATCACCCGCGTTCGTGCACACAAACTAAAGCACTCTCTGGTGAAAGTACAAAAAAAAATGCCCAAAGAAAAGCATACCGGAGTAGTAGTATACAGCATTCCTTGCGCCGCACGCCAGAAATTTACGTAGGTTGAAACAAAAGTTTCGAGCAGAGATTGAAACAATATCGCTACGAGGTCAAGAAAAAGAATGCTGCATCTAATTCATTGGCCGAAAACATCAAAAACTACTGGCCACGAAATCGATTGGGACAACACCAGCAGCACTAAAAAAGAGATCAATCTGTCTTTGCGTCTTTATCTTGAAACATATATAATAAAAACAACATAGCACACCGTCAACCGCAACCAATGAATATTGCCTCCCCTGTATGCGCGATATCTGCGACACATACTGAAACGTTCTTAGCACGTCACATTTTTTACCTTCACTTTGATAAAGACTTTCGTGTAGGACCCAAAACGCCTTGTCTCTGTTTTAAAGTGTTTCTATTGCGGTCAGAATTTTGTCTTTTTTTGCAAATGCCTCCTCCCGACAAAACCGGATTCCGTCAAATTCTTGACTTCAAAAAAGACTTTCGCATGCTTTTTTATCTATGACAGTTTATTTTTGCCTTCATTGGCATGTTTCAATAAAGTGCCTCTTTGTAATGTATGGTGTGACTGAGGTATGTCTCACGTTCTTCATTTTTAACTTTATTTTTCAAGAAAAGAAACTAGAGGTGTAAATGAGAATTGTTGTTGATCCTGCTGCAAAGAATATGGACTTTCGTAAATATAATCTCACGCACAGTCATTGCGATGAGCGATAGGATGCGAATCATCCAAGTCGTATTACTTCTCGTTGCGCTCCAAATATCGATCATTGAGGCTTGAGACCCCTTGATTCACATGAAGCTTTTCACAGGTGAGAGTAATCCTATCGGCCCCCCCCTCCCTCACTGAACAAAATAACATCGAAATTCACTCAAAGAACACTAGGGTGGAAAGTGCTTTCGGCAGTTCTCGTAGTACAACAAGAACTGACTAGGTTTAGTGGCATTGGTAAGCGAGGCCTAGTTGCGGTATACAGCAGCCACATTTTTTAAAGATTGTAGCTCCTTCCATTCATACGCTAGTACCGCGGTATATCACGTGTAGTAGCTGAAGTTTTCGTGGCATCAGACTGAGGACATAAACCCTTTTTCACGTTACGACAAAGTATCTCATTATATCACGAGTGAACCATGTGTAAGAATATCCTCGTTTCTATGTATTGAAGCATGAAAAAAACTACTTAGTTTCAGTACTCAGAGTTCTGGAAGGGCCCAGTCTAAAGAGCCTTGCGAAACTAACGAGTCATGAGATAAAATAATTGCGGCTGGCTGCGTCGCTTCGTAAAGCTTCAATAATTATTCACACTTCAAAGTACACTCGTCGTGTGGCCACTTACGACTGGCTTCCAGGAAGAAAATTAGGGCAGACTGATGTTCACACCAACCAAATACGACAGACAAGCAGGTCTGCTGTACAGACGCCTCGACTTGTCAGAGCCCCCGCAATGTAAGCTGATGTCCTCTTCCGGTGCACGCGATTGATACAAAGACTCGCCTCTACAGTAGCACAATTAAAGATTTCAGCATCAAGCAAGCGAGCCAGAGCAGTTGCTCTTCAACCAATTCACTCACTTGCGACCAGTTGCTAGCAGTCTCTTTGCGACTTAGTCGCAAGACCAATGGTAGCCTCTAGTGCGTACGACTTCCAATCCAACACGGGAATCAAAGACCATTAAATGTTGGCTCGTGAGCCACTAAAGTCGGCTGCACTAAACTCACATTTAGCACCGCGAGGGCTCCTGCGAAAATGGCGGGCTGCGTGAACTCTCTGTAGAGGTCCAGGAAGCCAAAGTTCGACACGCTCTGGCTCCAAATTGCGTCAATGTTTTTCATAAATCTATGCTCCTTGTAATCCTCGAAGAGTCCATTTCTGCAGAAAGATTTAAAAATGGGACGAGGTAGGAGGACACATGATGAGCCCATGAGTATACGCACACACAATCAGTGCACGCAACAGCTTGAAATATCGAGCCAGAATGTCGATGCCATTCGCTTTTACCGCAGTGCGCGACTGCCTCTAGTCAGTTTTCACACGTTGCGTGAAACGTGCATTTTATCGCCAAGTGCTTCCATTCATGCATAAGTTAAATACTCTTTTCAAGGTGTGAATTTTGGAAGGATCATCAAACAGGAAAAATACCCGACAGTGTAGGCGTCATCGGCGTCAATACAAGTGATGATGGCAACAATCAACTTTCAAACCAAAATCACCACGCAATCCTTCAACGTTATGCGCCACAGGGCGCCAAAATACATGTCGTTATCATCACGTCGTTACATCGCCTATTGTGACTACACACGATGACCGCATAGCATGACATAAGCGCATGACCAAATGTGGGTCTGTTCAATCACGAATTGACTGCACTAAATCGAGGGACACTTTATAAATTACCAACTGTGTTGATTGATTGATTTGTGGGGTTTAACGTCCCAAAACCACCATATGATTATGAGAGACGCCGTAGTGGAGGGCTCCGGAAATTTTGACCTCCTGGGGTTCTTTAACGTGCACCCAAATCTGAGCACACGGGCCTCGACATTTCCGCCTCCATCGGAAATGCAGCCGCCGCAGCCGGGATTTGAACCCGCGACCTGCGGGTCAGCAGCCGAGTACCTTAGCCACTAGACCACCGCGGCGGGGCACCAACTGTGTTCAACAAAAGCCTGTAGGCGTTCGACAGACAATGCCATGTCTTTTTGCTATGAATAGGTATCTTTTGCCCGTAGATAAATGCACCGTACCCAAATATGCTTCAGCTTTCTGGCACATTGAATTAGTCGTAAGATTTCACTCACTCGGGCGAAAAGGATAAGCCGGACTTGGTCCTCTTGTACCTCCTCGCGTGAAGGACAATGACCTGTGGATCGGACTCCATCTCGTTGATGCCCTCGAGAAGATTGCTCCTGGAGTTTTTATACAGGGAGTCGTAGAAAAGGAAGTCGCACATGCCGTCGTAGGGCAGGTAGCCCTGATTTTTGCGCACCGGCTTACTCACAGTGCAGATGTACGAATAGGAAGGCATGGGCTCGGCCACTGTCGGAAATAACCAGTTATCACGTTAGCCAGAACACATGAAAGCAGGCACGCGGTTTCCTATAAATAAACAAGACGGAACTTTGGCGCTGGTGTCTACGGGAGC